CCACTACTCTCTGTTCCTAGTTTTCTTTGAATTTTTACAAATCATTAATGAATTTTGACAAATTTTTTTCATATTGACTTATATAGTTTTGTGACTCTTCTTTAGCCTGCTCACATGGGGGACTATATACTTTTATTTTATGTGTAGGTGTTTTGCCTACGTGTCTGTATGTGCACCTTGTGTGTGCCTTGTGGCCCTGAAGTCCAACTGAAGTTACAGATGGTTGCCATCTCCCTGTGCGGGTGCTGGGAACTGAACCTGGGTCCTCTTGCAAGAGCAGCACGTGCCCTTGACTGCTGAGCTGTCTCTTCAGCACCCAACTCACTGCTTTGTTTTGTTTTATTTTTTTGAGACAGAGTGTCTTTATATAGCCCTGGCTGTCCTGGAACTTACTATGTAGTCCAGGCTGGCCTCAAACTCACAGAGATCTGCCTGCCTCTGCCTCTAGAGTGCTGGGATTAAAGGTGTGCTCCTGGTTTACCACTTTTCAAATGCTAACACAGATGTGTATTCCTGGGACAAACCTCATTTAGTCAGAGTATATATCTGTTTTGATACATTGCTAAAATTTAGTTTTGATATTTTGCTAAGAACTTTGTCTCTATTCATGAGAAATAATGGTCGATTTTTTTTCTCTTTCTTTTCTCTCTCCCTCCTCCCCTCCTCCCTCCCCACCCTCTTCCCATTCTTCCTTCTCCCTCGACTGAGTCTGGTGTAACTTCATCAAATGAACTAGGAAGTGTTCCTTGCTTTTCTGCTTCCTGGCAGAAATGATGTAGAATTGAGATCAATTCTTCAAACATCTTGTAGAATTCTCTAGTTGAAACCACGTGGCCACGGTGACTTATTGGGATCATTGGACTACAGATGTAGACGGTTGTAATCTGCCATGTGGGTACTGGGAATGGAATTCTGGACCTCTTGAAGAAGCAGCCAGTGTTCTTAACTACAGAACTTTTATTTTTTAAATCTTTTTCTTATTATTGGGGTGGCACCTGCATGCTCTGCTGCGCATGTGAAAGTCAGAAGACACCTTTGTAGGGTTGATTCTCCTTCTCTACCTTTATATGGGTTCCCTATATATAACAAACTCAGGTCATTAGGCCTGCCTGGCTGGTGCTTTACCCACTGAGCCATCTCCCCAGCTTCTGTTGGGAGTTTTATTGGTTGTGCCCACTGGCATTTTATAGTTTCTCTTCAATCCTACTTCTGAACCAGGGGACTCACCACTGTGGTGTGCCTAGGGGCTTGAGGCCCCTGGTTGATCTTCCCTCTTCAGTCTATCTTTCAGAGTTTTCTTTGGCTTTTTTTGAGACTGGGTTTCTGTGTAGCTCTGGCTAGTCTGGAACTCACTCTGTAGACCAGGTGGGCCTGCAACTCACAGAGATCCACCTGCCTCTGCCTCCTGAGTGCTGAGATTAAAGACACCCAGAACAGATTCATCTGCCTGTTTTCTGTAATGTCCAGAGTGTTCATCTGTGGCCATCAGAATGAATGATCACAAATGTCACTATCTTCTTAAATGTGAAAGTTTAAGTAGTTTCCCAGGTTGTGACCCCTCCTACCCTGAACATTCATAGTTGAAAACAATACATAGGAAATTGGATATATAAAACCAAGGGTATTATTTACTTTAGGTACAAATATATGATATATATTTAAGAATTTATTATCATTTAACTTTCCTGGCTTTAATGGGAACAAAGTCATTAAAACATTTTTCCCCTAAATCTGTTTTTAGAAACAAAATCAAACCAACAAACAAAACATTGCCCAGGCTGCCTTTGAACTATCTCTATAACCCAGGCAGGCCAGGAAGCTGTGAACCTCTTACCTCAGCCACCTGACTTGCTGGTATGGAAGGCCTGTGCCACTGGGCCCGCCTTACCTTGATTTATTTTTGCTTTTAAAGTTTTGCATCAGAGGCAAGTTTTCAAGCTATCTGTACACTACGCAGTGGCCAACTCTTTGTAGCAAGATGTGAGTGAACTGTATGTCTTCTTCCTAGCTTGGTTCCTATCTTCGTTAGGGTTTTATTGCTGTGAACAGACACCATGACCAAGGCAACTCTGATAAAGACAACATTTAATTGGGGCTGGCTTACAGGTTCAGAGGTTCAGTCCAGTATCACCATGGCAGCATCCAGGCAGGCATGGTGCAAGAGGAGCTAAGAGTTCTACATCCTCATCTGAAGGCTGCAGCAGAATACTGGCTTCCAGACAGCTAGGGTTAGGATATTAAAGCCCAGGCCCACAGTGACATACCTACTCCAACAGGGCCACACCTTCTAATAGTGCCACTCCCTGGGCCAAGCATATACCAACCATCACAGATCTTTTCCTCAGTTTTAGAGGAAAGACAGCTGAGAAGAAAAGCAGGCTTCTTCCTGGATGTGGAGCTTCTCCCGGAAGTGACTGTGTCAATAGGTTCTAAGAACTTGTAGAAATAAATCTGCCCTGGCCACGTTGGCTGTTCCCTGGGGAGAAGGCATGGTTCTTTCACTCCACCTACACACATGAGAGAGGGGCCTCACACTTGCATCCTGCCAGGACAGGAGGAAGTAGTGCCTCCAGGGATCTTGGGGACCACTGCGATGTTATCAGTGGCGGTTTCTCATCTGATGTTAGAGTCATCTCTATGATGAGTGTAGATACCATGTCACTTTACAGCGGAAGCAGAGTTGGCTGTCCCCCAAGGAAGATGGGAAGCCTGTTTGCCATTAAAGCTCTCTGAAATCAACTCACCCTATCCTGTCCCACCCTCATGTGCCAGCCCTGGGCACACACCCAGGAATGCCTGGAACACCTTGCTGCTGCTGCCTGAGCTGTAGGCTCAGACACTCCAACAGCAGCCTGATGTCACTTTATTCCCCTGTCCTTGTCCAAGGGGATGTCCTGCCTTCCCACCCAGCCAGCCTCCTGCCCCAGGCTATATTTAGGACTTTGTCACCCAAACCCTTTCTCCAGGGCTGAGGAGGAAGCACATGGGCTATCTTCGAAAATCCGTGGTAGAAACAAGGTTTTCTCCAGGTCCTGCATTGGTTCTATCTTCTTCTGGAGTTTTTGTTGTTGTTGTTGTTTTTGTTGTTTTTGTTTTTTTTGTTTTTTTTGGTTTTTTTGTTTTTTTTTTTTTTTTTTCCACCTATGAAGCTTTGGGATTTTAAAAGCCAGACAATTAAGACATCATGGGTAGGAAACCGTGTTCGCTGATGATGGCTGGCCTCTAGTGGTGGATAGCTGCAAGCCAGTTATTCGGCATCCATCCTAACCTTTCTGTGCTGAGCATCTCAGTACTTTTACCCTTTATAAAATCTGCACCTCTAAAGTTTCCCTTTACCCCCAAATGGAACTTTATTAAGTAATGAGCTCTTTCCTAATTTTTGGGTCATCAAAGAGTCATTCCAGTATTTCTTATCTGTAACAAAAGGGAAAGAAGCTGGATGCTTCATTTAGTCTGTAAAATTTCTTGTGTGGTTTTAGACAGTGACAGTAGCTGCCGGTGCCCCACTGTAAGACACGAGCCTTTAGTGACCGTGTTGCTCAGCTCCTTCGTGTTTCTAGGCAAGAGAAGTTCCTTAGTAATAAATCATACAGTTATACAAAAACCATCCTTTGTCCAGTGATGTATTACTTTCTGTAAAAGCATTTAAATAGGGCCAGGGAGAAGCTGTGGGTGTTAGAGGGGGACCCAGATGCTGGGGACTAAGGGTCTGGGGTGTGCCCAAGGCTGTCTCAGAGCTTCCCCCTTCTTTGCTAACCAGATCTGCTGTGTTGCAGGGACATCCTCTAGTCTCCAGCCTTACTGCCTTCTTCTAGGCCAGCATGAGGGCTGAATACCCCTCTTCTTGTTGGAGAAGATTTTTCTCCTAAACCCCACAGGGAATGTCTTTATTCAGTCTGAGTCTCTCCACACCTGACCAGCTTCTGGGGTCCACTCTGGATTCTCAATGCACTCTGGACGCCACTGATTAGAGTTTCTTACAGGAGTGTAAGAGATTTATAGAGCAATAAATACCAAGGTCTGGTAGGTGTGGGAGCTCTGCAGTCTGTTCTAACAAGTGCTTCTTCTCAGGTGACCCGGCGCTTCGGGATACCAGGGCTGAAGAAAACCATGGACTGGTTTGGCTACTACGGAGGTCCCTGCCGTGCCCCCTTGCAGGCGCTGAGCCCCACAGAGGAGGAGGCACTGCGCTTGGATTTCAGCAACAACGGCTGGCTTTAATGACAAGCAGGAGACACCTGGCCTAAGCTGTCTGGGACTCCTGTTCCCACAGCCTGAGGAGGAGCAGGGCATTAGGAATTAGGGATTATTTTTGTCTGTATTCTATTGCTGTGAAGAGACACTGTGACCATGGCAATTCATAAAAGAAAACGTTTAATGGTGGCTGGCTTACAGCTTCAGAGGTTCAGTCCATTACCATCAGGGCAGGGAGCATGGCAGCGTACAGGCAGACATGGCGTTAAAGAAGTAGCAGAGAGTTCTACATCTAGATCTTCAGGAAGCAGGAAGAGAAAGCTACTAGGCCTTGCTTGGAGTTTAGAAAACCTCAAAGCCCACCTCCAATCACACTGTCTCCAATAAGGCCACACTTCCTAATTCTTTCAAAGAGTGCCACGCCCTAAGCATTTATGTATGTTAGCCTGAGAGCGGGGATTCTTACTCAAACCACCACAATCTACCCCCTGGCCCCAAAGCTTGTAACCATATTATAATGCAAAATGCATTTAGTCCAACTTCAAAAGTTTTCATAGTCTATCACAGTCTCAAGACTGCTTAAAAGTCCAAAGTTCTAAGTCTCTTCTGAGGCTCATTGTAAAATCCAAAAAACAAAAAAACAAAAAAAACAAAAAACAGATCAGATACTTCCAACATATTATGTCACAGAATATACTTTGGCTATGCCAAAGGGGAGAAATGAAAACAAAGAAAATACTGGACCAAAACAAGCCTTAAAACAAGCTGGGCAAGCTTCAAACTCTGCATTTCCACGACTGATGCCAAAGCGTTCTTCAGATCTCCAACTCCTTTCAGCTTTGTTGACTGCAGCACACTTCTTTCTCTTGGTCTGGTTCCACGCCCTGCTAGTAGGTTTCCTCAGCAGGTATACCATGACTCTGGCATCTCCAGCATCATGGGGTTTCCAGGATTTACTTTCGCAGCTTCATGCAATGGCCTCTCTGGGCCTCCATGCAGGGACGTCCCTGACACACATCTGGCCTCAGCACCTTTCCTTAGTCATGGAGGGAAAGTCCATAACCCCTTTCTTGTATCCTTAACTGTAAAGTCTGAACCGTGTGGCCAAGCTGCCAAGTTCTGCTGCTGGATGGGGCTGGAACTTCCCCCTCATTCAAATACATTTTCTTTAGCTTTCTGTTTTTAATGGTTTCCTTCACTGTGTAAGCTTTTTCTTAATACTGTTTCTCAAGTTGAAAGCTTGGCTGGGTAGGGTCTTGCCCTGAGGTCACCACTCCCTTTATTCCATTTAACATCAGGATTTTCTTTAAACTTTTTTTTTTTTTTTTTTTTTTAGTATTCTTTAAACTTTTTATCTCCTTGGGCACTGGATTTAATTCCATTACACTTCCAGGTACTCTTTTTCTCCTCAAATTTTTATATTTTGTATATTTTACATTTTATATTTCTCTTTCCCCACTTGCCCTTTCCTGCATAAGGCTGGCCACTAATAACAATGTAACAAAGTCAATATGAGAAACCATGAAACAAAGTCAATAGGAGGCTGTCTTGACATCGTCTCTGCCAATTGTATTAATCCAAAACTTTTCAATTTAGGCTTCAGCTGATTTTGCGGGTGGGGCAAAAAAGCAGCCACATTATGACAAAATAATCACAGAACAGTTGTTTCTAGGCCACTTAATACTCTTTTCTTCTGAAACCTCGTTGAGTGTGGCCATCACGTTATATGTTGCCCTCAGCACCACTGTCTTCCATGCCCTTACTAGGATGACCCATTACACCCCACTGAAAGTGTTCGGCTGCTTTCCTAATCCTAAGTACCAAAGTCCACATTCTGCAAACAAGAAGCAGAGTCAGGCCTGTTACAGCAATGCCCTGCTCCCTAGTACCAATGTCTGTCTTAGAGTTCTTCTATTGCTCCGAACAACTCTTATAAGGGAAACTCAGAGCAACTTTCCTTAGTCATGGAGGGAGAGTCCACAACCCCCTTGTATTCTTAACTCTAAAGTCAGAACCATGTGGCCACAACAACTCTTCTAAGGGAAAACATTGAACTGGAACTTGCAGTTTCAGAGGGTTAGTTCATTATGGTCTTGGTGGGAAGCATGGCAGCACTCGGGCAGACATGATGCTGGAGAAGTAGCAGAGAGTTCCGGATCTGGAGGAAGCAGGACAAGAAAGCCACTGGGTCTGGCTTGAGCTTCTGAAAATCTCAAAGCCCACTTCCAGTGACACACTTCCTCCAATAAGGCCACACCTCCCAATCCTTTCAAACACAGTAACCCCCTAAACCCTCAAATCTATGAGCCTATGGGGGCCATTTTTATTCAAACCTCCCTCAGGGCTCCTTTCCCAATTGCTTTCTGCTCTCAGCTCCTTTTCACAGCCTGTGATTTCTCACCTTTGCACCCTGCACAGAATCCCTAGAGACCCCCTACTAGGAAGGAACAATCTCTTACTTGTCTCTACCATGGGTACTTTATTCTGCACTAAGGTGGGTGAACCAGGGAACCAAGCAAAAGGGTAAGGGATGTAGCTGGAAACCAAGGAAATTGGCTACTGAAGGGACTGTCACTTCTAACTTGAAGCTAAAAATTTAAGTTGTGTACGATATGGCCAGAAAGCCAGGGATGGCCTGATTGGAATGTCTCTCTTGTTTTTGAAAGACATCCAAGCCGCATTTGGGCCAGGATGTCCTTTCCTAACTCACATCTTGTCACTAGCTTTGACTCCCACTGTTGGGTGACCAAGACAGCCCAGTGCCTTGTCACGTTAGTAAATAGTGACACCTGGTGGATAGACACCTGATGTACACTCTAGAAGACTTCAGACTGGCCCAGGTATGAATCTTGAAGACTGGGACTGAGATAGGACCACGCTCTTCTCTGAAGGCACTTTCCTTTTATTATGGAAACTGATCATGTTACTATAATAAAGTATAACAAGTGAGACTTGAATGACTATGTAGTGGACTTCCTGCCCAGATGCCAAGGATCTTCCTAAAGACTGTGGGACCTGAATGCTCGGTCTTTTCTCACCACTGAGCGAAGCCTTAGTAATTTCAAGCAGAAGCCCACTATTAAGAGACTTAGCTTAGGAAAACTTAATGATTCTTTGTTACTGTGTATAGACACATGCAATTATTCATGCAGACAATGTGAGAACTGGTGATTGACCTCAGGGTGTCCTCTACCACTCTCCAGTTTATTTTATTTTGGTTTTTTGAGACAGGGTTTCTCTGTGTAGCCCTGGCTGTCCTGGAACTCACTCTGTAGACCAGGCTGGCCTTGAACTCAGAAATCCACCTGTCTCTGCCTCCCAAGTGCTAGGATTAAAGGCGTGTGCCACCACTGCCCGGCTCCAGTTTATTTTTTTAAGGCAGGGTCTGTCATTAGATCTGGAGTTTGTCAGTTTTGTCATACTGGCTTGCAGAAAGCGTCTGAGGGCTGCCTGTTTCTATTTCCCTGTGTTGGGGTTATAGGCATGCACTGCTATGCTTGGCTTTTTATGTGGGTGCTGGGGACTCAAAACCAGGTCCTCATGTCTGTGTAGCAAACACTGTGCTTACTTAGTAAGCCATTTCCCCAGCTTCCCATTGGCTTTGAATGACAGTAAGAGACAAAAGGGCTCAGCTGAGATGTTTAGAAACACTTGACACATCAATCAAAAAGATGCCCTTGTCCAAAATGCTCAGCTCATTTTGGTGGTGACGCAGGAGAAGCCAAGACAAAAAGTTCAAATTACTCATTAAATAGAGAAGAGGTCCCTGTTTAGGGCAGAGGCTAGAGAAGACTATTAAGGATAATCACCAACCAGAAGTAGGTGTCTGATGGCATCAAAGCCTGGGGTGTGGCTCTTGTATTTCTTTCATGGTCACCTTCCAGAACAGTGGTGTTTAGAGAATAGGAAGTTTAGGACTGATGGGAAAAATCTTGGGCTGGGAGAGGCAGCCTAGAAAGGTGGCTCAGAACTCAGTGTTTGGGCTTCGGCAGCCCTGGGTTTAAGTTCTGGGACCCCTGGTGTCTATGAGGCCTTCGAGTAGTCCCCTAATTTCCCTGAGTCTCAGCTAGCATAAACCTTTCTTCCAGAGCTGCAGGGAAAGCTGAGGAAGAACTGTAAAGAAATGAACTAGTGTGCTGGGGTGTTCTGCTACTGGGCGCAGGAAAAGGGAAACGTGGGCAGATGACTTGTTTGAGGTCACCCAGTAGGTCTGGCAGTAACTCATATTGGGGATTATAGACACTGATGCTCAGGGTGAAAGGAATCCAGTGGAAGGGAACTATACTCAGAAAGTGTAGGACAGAAACCCCATCCAGCCCTGACATTTACTAGTCAAGACAACATGAGCCTGCTGATTTTTAAAAACCTCATGCCTTCTACTTCACAGAGGGTGTGTGTGTGTGTGTGTGTGTGTGTGTGTGTAGTTATAGGTCAACATTCTGTGTTCCCCAGGAGCTGTCCATTTTTGGTACTTGGGACTCACTAGTTAGGCTAGGCTAAGCTGGCTGGACACAGTCAGCCCCAGAGATACTTTGTCCCTAGACCCGGGACTCTAAGCATGCACAGCCACAGCCAGCTATCCATTTACATGGGTGCTGAGGCTCTAACTTGGGACCTCATGTTTGCATAGCAAGCATTCCACTGGCTGGCTTCTCTATCCAGCTCTTCACAGGAATTCTGAGAAACAGATGACATCATGTAGCAAAGTGTTCAGTGTTAGCTCCAAGTACCTTTCTGTTTAGTTTCCATAAATATCAAACAGGTTGATGATATTCATGAGGCCCCAAGTCCAGAAAGTCCATAACACTAATTATAGGCAGTTCTGGTGACTGGTTTATTCCTATAAACACATGTTTCTACAGTACAGTTCAGATGATAAATAGAGGCACACAGCTATAATTTCCACCACAGTCTGCTGTTGAGAGAGATTTGAGGACGGGGCCTGGGGCTGGGGCTGGGGCTGGGACCTAGGCTAACTGGAGACCTTGTGGTGATTTTGGCAGGAAGATCTGTCCCAGGCCCAAGGGCCAAGACTCTTGCTTCCAGAGTCACAAGTCAAATGGAGGAGCCCATGCTAGACAGTTCACACTAGAACGGATCTAAGTCTTCGAATACCCAAGGGACAGTGAGTCTGATCCAATGGTACACTGGGAAGGAACTCTCAGTGCAGGCTTCCCTGGGATTCCAGGTCATTCCATAGAAGGCCTGGATAGGTCTGCCCTTTGCCCTGGAGTGAGTAATGAACGCAGGTCCTAGGTTACTTTTACACTAGTGTCTTACTTGGCTATTCTAGAAAGGGATCCTGTCTGACGTCTAACAGAAGAGAGAGGCACAGACAGGGATTGGGATGTCTGCTGTAACTCGAGTAAGGAAGACTGAGGTAAAGCTGAGGGAGAAGAAAGCCACACTCTTACACTGAGGAGGGATGAGAAGACAGACATCAGTCTGGAGCCAGGCCTCCAAATGCAGTGAGTGAGTAGGTAACACCCAGAAGAGCTCTGGCCTGGACTTCACAGGGCTGCTGTGGTCTAAGTCACCCCTGCCTTCCTGATTTCTCAAACGGTAGCACACAGGGCTGGTCCTGAGTCGAGACTCAGATTATCTGCCATCAGGATGGGGATGAAGAGATTCTCTACGGTCTGACAGCAGATAGAGAGAAGGCCGCAGCACTGGATAACCCAAGGTCTTGGAAATAACAGGGAGAGAGGGTAGGCCCTATTCTTGAGCACATCAGGGCCAGGGAAGGACATAACTGCCACAGGGTCAGTTGTCGTGGGGCCAAAATCCTCCACGGTTTTCTGCGACTGAACTCCAGAACGGCAGGTGACAAAGCACCCTGCCGGCCATTCACGGTCATTCTCATCTCATATCCGGTTCATTTGTTCACCTTGCGCGCACATATACAAGGGACACCACTGTTTTGCAGATACTTTCCAGCTGCCCCCAAAGCTCTGTCAGGCAGTGAGGTTCCTGGCTGACTTGGAGGCGCTCTGAGCCCGCTGAACCACGGCGGAACACTTCTCACGCCTCAGCAGTTTGTTGTTCTCAAACAGACCTTCATTGCGGGGTATTCCATGAGAACCATCCGGGAAAGTCAGCAAGCCTGTGAGGGGGACAGAGAGAGGAAGAAGGCACCAATGTTTCGGGTCAGCTTGATGTGTAGAGGCTGAAGAAGAGGAAAAGGTTAGGGGTGTGGGCACTGCCGATTGCTGGAGGGAGCCATGGAAGAATGAAGATAAAGGAGGAGTCCATCCATGTTATATTTACCTAAGTTACCATTCTACTGAATGAAACTTACCAAAACCATCAACTCTGCCATTTTTAAATTCCCCTTCAAAGGTCATGTTGTCATATCGAATGAAGACTCCGACGCCATTGAACTTGCCCTGGGAAAACTCCCCCTCATACCTGCAGAGACACCGAGATGTTAGTTAGCCTTCAGTGGGTAGGTTAGCTGTGCGCAGTAACTGAGGCAAGCAGTTGCCAATGTGTCTGTTAGTCAAGGTATAGACCGAAGCCCATCTCTACCAGTGCCACCGAGACCATTCCCCAGTAGCAGAGAAGGGTCAGAGGCTATATATGTGAGGTCTTAATGCCAGAAAAGGAATTCTCTGTGTAACACCAGCCCCGGCTGTCCCAGAACTCACTATGTAGACCAGGCTGGCATCAACTCACAGAGGTTTGCCTGCCTTTTCCTCCCGAGTGCTGGGATTAAAGGACATGTACTCCCATGCCCGGCCAAGGAAAGGGAATCAGAGTAGAAGGTCACTCACCTTCTTGACATTTTCAATTTCACGTCTATTTAATTTGATATATTTCTTTTATTTAGGGACAGAGTCTTGCTATGTAGCTCAGGTTGGCCTCACATTCAGATAACTCTCACCTCTCCCTCCCCAGTGCTGGGATTACAGACATTCACCACCGTGCCTGGCTCTTACATCTATCTTAAAGTAATAAAGTCAGGCAAGATGGCCTAGTAGACAAAAGAAACTTGTCTCCATGCTTGATGACTGAGTTAAATCCTGGGAATCCTCATGGTGGAAGGTGAGAACTGACTCCTCTTACCTTCACAAGCATGCGGTGCACCCTCCACAAATAACACATAGAAATAAATAAAAATTTAAAAAGCAAAGTAATCAATAAAAGAACTGTTCATCCTTTTTCTGTTTTCTTTAGGGCCTGGGCAAGCTCGGGGTTGAAGAGACAACCATCAGTGTCCATATTTGTATTAGTCTTGCTAGTTCAAAGATGGAGAGAGGAACAACTTAATACTTACCGTGAGCCATCTGAGAAGGTCAATACTCCAAAGCCATTAAAAAGCCCATTCTCAAAGTGGCCCAGATAGGTGCCACCATCTGCAAACATCAGTTGACCAAAACCATGTCTCCGGCCTGAGCAAAGAGAAGGACAGGTACCAGGTTGGAATGGGGAAGCTTCAGGGTCCCTTTTCACTGGCTTAGCAGCCCACACTTTCTCACAACCTTACCCCCAAAAAGCTGCCCTTTGCCCCTGTGAGTATGGAAAGGCCTGTCTCCTTGGGGCAGTTTCATTGCTTGCTAGGACTGAACACTGAGGGACTCCAAACTGAACCCTTAAGGTGCTTGTGGTGTGGTTTCAGCATAGTTCATAGCTCCAAAGCACTCTGCTATTCCTAAGAATAGATTACTTCCACCTACAAAAAGCTGTTGTAGGGAACTCAGGGCAAGGAATGACATTTGTTTTTGAGGGTCTTCACTAACTTCCAGATCTTCCTTAACTTCTGAAGATTCACCACAATGTTTCGGTGAATCCTCAACTCTCTAAACTGTACCCAAAAGAATTTATTTGGCTCTTTTGGGCACATTCACATCTAAGACAACAGACTGTGTCAAAGCACTATACATCTAGAAGTGGGAAGATTGCATTCGTTTCTAGTTCCTTCATTAAGCCCTGACATTGGAGCTTAGTTGATGAAGCTGGCTGGCCCAAGGGCTTCTTCTCACCCTCTTTCCACTCGCCACGGTATTCCTCCCCACTGGAGTAGGTAAAGGAACCTTTCGTCAGGGTCATGGTGGCAGCTTACACAAGAAGAGGATGACAACTATAAGAAACAGAGAAAGCAGTGTCACGGGATGGCTAGAGGCCTAGAGGCTGTGCTCCAGCAAGTGTGCATCTACCTCAAGCGTGATCCTACCTCAGGTCATTTAAAACGCCCTCCTCACCACCCACCTCCACGTTTGCAGAAGCACCCTTACCCATACTTGGCTCAGAAGTTCTCAGCCAGTTCCTGTTTCCTGTGATGGAAATGAAAGCTAAATCCACAAATATTTACTTCACATGTACTATGCACTCAGTGGATGTATAAACAGAGTCCCCTCAATGAAGTTATAATATGGTTGGGAGGTTCAGCAGGTGAAACATCATGCTATACCAGAGACAAGGTAATTCTGTGTTAAGTACAGGGGTGAGCAGCCCCTCAGCACAGCCATGGTGGATGCCTGTAGTCTCGGTAGAGGCAAGAGGATTCATGCATTCACAGTCATCCTCAGCTACACGAAACTGCCTCAAAATAAATAAATAGGAAAAAGAACAAAACAAAAGCAAGCAGCAAAGAGAGTAAAAGAGTAACCAAAACCCAAGTTATCCAGGGGAAAAACACGGAGCTGGTCCGCCCAGATAAGACAGCTTGTTTAGAGGTGATAGATACTCTACATGAGAGACCTTGAGATGTTAAAGAACCACACAGATGCTATGCAAACTCCTTCATATTATAGACGAGGAAACACAAGCTCAAAGTGGTTAAGAAGGTTTTTGGGTTTGTTTGTTTGTTTGTTTTCTGGTGGTGCTGGCAAGATGGCTCAGTGGTTAAGCACACTTGCTGCTCTTGCAGAAGACCCAGGTTTCATTGCCAGCTTCATGCCATGTTTCACAGCCATGTAAACTTCAGTTCCAGGGGATCCAAAACCACCTTCTGACTTCTGTAGGTACCAAGTAAGCACACAGTTCACATACATAGCCACAGGCAAATGGCTGTACACAGAAAGTTACAAAAACAAAACCCTAAAAATTACTCATAATACAAATGTTGTTGGTAGCTGAGTAAGGGGTAGGCACACAGCCCTCCCTGACTATGCTGGCCTGCCTTCCTTCAGGCTGAGCCTCTGGTCTAGGTCAGACGTGTTCATGGTGTTCTCTGAAAACTGGGCGGACTGTAGCAGCTAAGTTAGGGAAAGGAAGAGTCTGTGGCGGGGTGGGGGCGTGTGAACAAGGATTGGAATTGGGTGAATGCAATGGTCGAAATAAATGACTGTGACGCAGGAGGGGTTGGAGCAGCCCAGTCCCGTCAGAGAAGTTTTTGAGGAAAAGATAGCCTCCTACCAAGAGGCAGAATTGCCTTCGTCTGGTTTGGCTATGTGCATTACTTAGTTAATGGAGTCTTAGCAAAGGTGATGAGATAGATATTTAAACACAGAGATTTGAGAAGCACCGGGCTAGCCTCTATGCTGAACTTGGACCTGCTCTGTTTCCAGTGCAGGAGTCTAGACTGATCTAGATGAGGGGAGATTATGTGGAGTCATTGTCCCAGCTGACCACAGAAACCTGAACTCAGCAAGACACAGAAGGCGCTGGCCTCCGAGCCAGGGCCCCACGCTAATGGTTCATGGTTTCATTGGGCAAAGAAATAACAGTTGTTTCTGGCCACTGTGTCTTAGAGGTGTGTATAATCACCCAGTAAGAACTGATATTTTCTTATGGGTGGATGTGGTGGGGTAATCTACAACGAGAGCAGAAGATATACTAAGTATATATCATAGAGATGAAAGTCATACCAATAGCACTGGGGACTAGTGGGTGGTAAAAGAATTTTATACTCAAGGATACCCCCCCATAAGAAGGGAGATAGACACTTAAGATGCCCTTAAGTACCATCAGAGACAAACAGAATCAATAAACAATAGAAGTATTTTTTCAATTTTCTAGATCTTTTTATTCACCCCTTTGTCTTTTTTATATTTAAGCATTACAGTGTTTTCTCAAATGATAAAATGCAGATTCATAGGCCTGACCTCAAACCCATTGAGTCCAATTCTGTGCAGCTAGAACTTGGGAACCTATAGTTTGAACAAGTACATCATTAGATCCCATTTGCCGACTATGACTGTACCATAGGGAGACGCTGAAAGTTACAACTAAAGATCGCCACGATGAATAATTAACTGGAAGTTTCACTCGCAGGCACCTGCCCAATGCTAACAGGACAAGTGCAGCTTTTCTTCAGAGAACGGAGACTGTACTGTCTGGTGCACGGAACTGGGGAGGATCCTTAAATACTTGTGGGCCTGGTGCCAGTCAACAGCTTTCTTTCCTTCAAGCCACACAGAAACTGAAACTCTTATCATCAGCCCAGCATCAGAGCAGGCTTGGGCTGAGGTCAGTGAGGCTTCACAACAAATGCAACATTAATGAGAGGAAGATAAGAAGTTTTCCATAAGAATTTCAAGAGAAAACTCTTTGCAGTGGAGTTAAGGTATTTGGAGAGCTACAGGACATCTTTAGCTTTTCAAAGTCACATGATGATACAAATTGCAAGCGTGCTGTTCATGGAGTTACACGTCTTTAATCCTAGCACTCTGGAGGCACAGGCCGGCAGATGTCTTTGAGTTCCAGGCCAGTCAGGGTTATGTGTGAGACCTTATCTCAAAAAACAAAATAAAAGCTGGGCAGTGGTGGCGCACGCCTTTAATCCCAGCACTTGGGAGGCGGATTTCTGAGTTCAAGGTCAGCCTGGTCTACAGAGTGAGTTCCAGGACAGCCAGGGCTACACAGAGAAACCCTGTCTCGAAAAACAAAAACAAAAGAAAACAAACAAACAAAAAACAAAATAAAAAAACCCAACTTGCTACAAAACTCTTTAAAACACACCCACCTGAATCTGCAGAGCTGTGTGTATGTATATGAGTGCGTATGTATATTTATATGGGTGTATATGCATATAAGTGTAATATGAATGCATATGTGTATGACTGTTTGTATGCATATCAGTGTGTGTATATGTATATCAGTGTGTGTATGCATATGAATGTTTATATGTGTGTGTATATGAGTATGTGTATGTATATATGATTGTATGTATGTCTATGAGTGTGTATGTCTGTGGGTGTATATGTATATGAGTGTGTGTATGTGTAATGAGTATGTGTGTATGCGTGCGTGCATATGAGCGTATATGTATGTATATTTGATGTTCTGAGGTAGGGTCTCTCTATGAAGTCCTGGCTAGCCTTGAGCTTACTGTGTAGACCAGGCTGGCCTTGCATTCACAAAGATCCTTCTGTCTCTGCTTCCTGAGTACTGAGTTTATGGCATGCACCACCCTTCTTGTCTGAAGAACCGTGTATCTCTGACTAAATTTTATAACTGTACTGTCATGATGGAGTCTGTCAGTAGACTTAGAAGACAGTATGAAAGGGAATTTTCTTTAAATGTTTGCCAGTGGTTAACTAATTTTGCTTTCCTCAAACGTTGGTGGGTCACTGCAGTGAGAGCTAAGAGGTGAGTACACAGGGCGTCCAGGACGATGCTTTTGTACCTGTTTACTGTCATGGAAGCTACTTACAACTTCCAGGGTTGCATCGCACTGTGGTCCACAGGGACCAGGGAGGAAACAAGGAGGTATTTGAGGACTCCCTATGGACAAAGTGCTAGTCATGCTCCTCAGTATAAAGCTATCTTTTTTTTTTTTTTTGTTATGCTGTCAGCTCTTGAGCCAATATCTTAAATATTAGAAGGAAGTTGATGAAATTTGAATATTTTTTAAATTTTTAAAAAGGATTTGTCTATCTGTCTGTCTGTCTATTTAATGTATCAGTGCTCTACCTGAATGTTTGCCTGCATGCTGGAAGAGGGTCCCATTACAGATGATTGTGAGCCACCATGTGGTTGCTGAGAATTGAACTCAGGACCTCTGGAAGAGCAGCCAGTCCTCTTAACTGCTGAGCCATCTCTCTAGTCCATGAAATTCTTTTTTTTTTTAATTGCTTAGTAGGGTAGACTACATTTTCTAAAGATGCTTGCAATGTCTCCCTAAATGTGATCAGACTTGGACTGCTTCAAACACAGCGCCACGGAAGTGATGCTTCATCGCTCGCGTGCAACAGACACAGCATCATGAACGTTCACTCTGCTCGTTACTAGGCCCATAGCTTGAGACCTGAGCCACAACCTAAGAACACCTGGCCAGAGCCCGCGAAATGGTTCAGCAGGTAAACAAACCTGTCCCCAAGACTGACAACCTGAGCTTGATCCCTGGACCCACACGCTGGGAGGAGGGAACCCACTCCAGCAAGCTGCCCTTTGACTTCCACAAAGCATACCACGGCACGTAAACATACATACACAGAAATAAAAAAATATGGAAATAAAAATGTTATTCTAAAATAAAATATATTATCTGCAGGCTCCCAAGTGATGAGGAAGCCAGGTACAGGACATGTGCTGTGACTCCAGTTGGCATTCCAATTTTGGTGGGGGGATGGACAGGCTTAAGGTTTAAGACAGAGTTTCTCTGTGTAGCCCTGGCTGTTCTGGAACTCGCTTTATAGATCAGGCTGGCCTCAAACTCACAGAGATCTGCCTGCCTCTGCCTCTGCCTCCCAAGGTATGCACCACCGCCACCGTGTGCCACCGCCACCATGTGCCACCGCCGCCCTGCTTTCCCACTTGTCAATCATCTTAGCTTAGACAGGACCAGGCACTAGTGAAGAAGCTGTCAAATGGTTCTACTGAATAAATAGAAGCTATCTCCATGATTTCAGGTCTAGATTCCTGGCCCATAGCATCTGGGTGTATTGTGGGGTAGCTCTAAGCTGCTAAGTGTTGGGTTAATTCATAGTTTGGTGATAATAAGCAAAATACCATCTGCCAACCTACCCCTGACACTATTCCGTGCTGGTTTTCAAGAGTATATATTACAAATTTCTATTCCTTTTTGATCTAGAAAGATACAGTCAACCGGGCAGTGGTGGCACACGCCTTTAGTCCCAGCACTTGGGAGGCAGAGGCAAGTGGATTTCTGAGTTCGAGGCCAGCCTGGTCTACAGAGTGAGTTCCAGGACAGACAGCCAGGACTACACAGAGAAACCCTGTCTCGAAAAACCATTAAAAAAAAAGAAAGGAAGGAAGGAAGGAAGGAAGGAAGGAAGGAAGGAAGGAAGGAAAGTACAGTAAATTCACAAGTGGTTTGTCAAAACCATCTCCAGTCTCAAGACTCAAATCAGAAGTGCTAATTAAAAGGAACATATATAGAATTCATGGGTCTCAGGCTAAGACTGAATACATTTAGCTAGGAGCTGCAACATATATCCAAACAGCTGATATTGTCCCTACCTGGGATTGTGTTTACATTTTAACTAATGAGTCTTGTAACTATCGGTGATAATTAAGAGTCAGCTCCACAGCCATGAGGCCAACACGGAATTTAATGTACTGTAGTTACTGAGACAAATACAGTTTAATAACGTGTATCCAGTACTGATGCAGATGGAAAAGCTGAACACTTTAGTAAGAGACATAGATCCATGTCTACAATCCTTGCTTGTATAATCCTGTTGAAGAAAATAGATGGCTTAGGCTTTAGATCTATAGACAGAATCCAGTCACAAACCAAGACGAGTCACAGTCCCACAGAGGCCTACCCTGTCTGTACTCATGACAGACAAGCTGCAAAAGATCAAAACATAACCTAAAGTCACTATTTTGTCTCTGTAACCCACCGTCCTAGTACTGTAACCCACCGTCCTAGTACTGTA